ATTAAGTCCTTGAATCTTACATTCTTAGGATTTTCCTATCTGAGACAGCATTAAATGTTAGTGTTACTGATGTATAACTGCCCAATGTGGTGACATGCATTTGAAGAGCTTTTTTCCCTTTATAAATTGAGAAAGTAGTTTGCAGAGTTCCTTTGATTCTTTAACCCTTCGCCCTCCACTATTGCACCCCATGCAACAACATAAATTTGTAGTCATGCTCTCATTTATGTGCCACCCTGTCATTCACCCTGGGGGCTGTTTTAAGAGGTTTCACACCCTGAAGTTTGAGAGTCACATCTCATTTTGCTAAATAAAACAAGAATTTTTACATTTATTTAGTAGTTTCTGAGATAATCACTTTTTTCAGAACAAAATTTTTATTATTCTTTTTCTTTTATTTACCTGGAATGAATAGGAAAAAAACTAGATGGACAAGCCCAGTCTAGTAGTGGGCCTCCTTTCATTTATGGAGATCCTCATTTTGTCACCTACTTGAACAAAATGCCATCTCTTTCCAGCCCTCATCCATCAAACACTTATTTCTCAGTTAGATTTAGCAAATCTAGCAAAGGTGCTCATGAAATGATGATGGGAGGATGGAGGGTTGCATGTGGTTCAATCTCTGCCACAAAGGCAAGTAGAGAGCTGACAGCACTTGTTGGGGACATGATGCCATGCCAAAGGCCTGGGTCTTATATACATGTGCATTGTGGTCCAGATTCTAAAGGGCTCTCAGGAACTCATGTCTCCCCCCATGAGCAAATTTCAAACTCAAAATTGGCACTAAAAAAGCCAATTTTGGGGCAAATACACCACAAAACAAACTCAGACTGTATCTTGTTCATATCTACCTGCTTGCCAGTTTTCAGAATTGGTCATACCAATATTTTCTACGTTATTGTCAGACAATTAAAGTGTGACACACTGACATAAACACACAGACGGACAGGACAAGACCATAAGTAGTCTCTTTCCTTGCAGGAAATGAGGCCTACTAAAAATAGGTTTCTGCTGTGGAGGTGCAAAGGGTTAAAGATTCCTCACTGAAGTCTATTACTTTGGTCAAAATGGTCAAAAGTTGTCTTTGAGTTTTCATTTCAAGAACTAATCTATTGGAGTGGAAGGAATGGAAAGTTAACCAAGTTATTAGCAGATTGCTGACCTGTTTTCACTAAAAGGCAAATGGCAAACTTATTTCAAAGACAGATGCATTCCTATTGAGCTTGAACAATGAGGAAGAATTCATCCGTCACATGAAGTTGCTCATGCTCAGCATCTTCATCTCTTACCTTCCCATTTAGACACTAAGAGGTGAAATCCTATAAGACCCAAACAAAGGTAAACCTGAAGGAATGAAAATGTTTAAGAACTGCATGAAACTGAACTGCTCTATCATCTACAAGAAATTTCTCCCTGGGGATTGGCTGTAAGTTCAGAAATACTCCCTCATTCCACGATCATTGGCTTTTTCCAAATAACCTTCACTATGCAATGTGAGAGGCTCTAGGCTACCTCTAACTTATGTTTCTTGATTCAGCACTCTCTGATGTTGAAATTTCATCCTCAGATCCTTTCCAAGTCTATGCAAAGTTGGTGGGAATGGCAGCAGATCAAAGGTTTTATTCATTGATACCAAATATAATGGACTCTGATCAATGCACAATGGATTATGACATGTTTTCAAATGTTTTGAACATATATTCATGCGTATTTTGAAAAACTTGACAGCCACCATCAGTTAGGTTGAGAATGTACCAAGTTCATTGTGACTAGGACTCTACCTCATAGCTCAGGTACATTTAAGCAGATTTAAGCCGAGTTAGCAAGACCTGCATGCGGAGTCTAAGCAATTGCATGCAAGAATAATTACATCCCCTGTGAATCAACTCAATCCATGCCTAAATGCTAAGGACACTGAAAGAAAACGTCCAAGGACCAAAAAAATTTCAGCCATTAGTTACTACTGATGGCAGGGATACATCACTGACCAGCTGATAAGAGGTGGCTGCTGTCTTTCTAATAACTCACAACAGCTGAAACATCTTTTTGAGGAGTGTGTGAATGAGACCAGAATAGCTGAAAAGACATACCAATTCCAAGTTGTGCAGACTCCTCCGACTTCGGCAGATATTCCTCCACACCTACTCCAAGTAACACAACTACTATGTGCTGCATGCAGTGGAACTGTCAGCCTGACTTTCGTGTCGCACTTGCCACCCGAGTCCAGCCACATCTCAATCGTTAGATCAGCCTACCAATGCCGGCCCAGCTTCTGGAAAAACGAGATGCGAGCCGATGACTTCAACGTCTGGTGAGTTTTTAACCCCACTGGACTCAACGAAGAGTGCTACCTGGGACGTTCACATGGGAAAAGGCTTGTAGCCGTTTCACCGCCGACCATTTCTTGCGACGATCGTTCTGCGGGGACCAAAACTGTACAAACACGTCTTCCTCGTAACGAAGAACGGCTCACGACCCACGACTCAAAACGGCTGGCCACGGCGAGCAGACACGTGGTGCCCCGCGCTCGAGCCCGATTCGCACGGCAGAGCCATCTCGCGAGTAACCCGAAGAGTTCTCGCAATCGCTCTCCGAATAAACGAAAAAGCGAAGCAACGAAAGCACGCATGAAACGCGATGCATCAAACCTAACTTGCTTAACCTAACCGAGACAGGATGACTTTGTGCAATCCATAATTTTCTTCAAAATCTTACGGGAATGCTTCTCGACTCCATTATTCTCAAAGACTTTATTCCGGTGGGTGACAATTTCGTTCGACACTTAGCAAAAAGGGGGAATTTCTCGCAAAAATCAAGGAAATAATCTCCGGTGTTACTAATTCCTTATTTCCTGGAATACATAATGGGTTGCCTTTCCCAGCAAACAAACCAACAAGCCATGGGTTTCATCTATGGTTTCACTAATTACCGGTAATTGTGGAATGCAGTCAGTAGATGTCGCCCAAATCCAGAGCCTTCTCATTTTTTTTGGCGCGAAGTTGAGAAATATTGATGCTGTGTGATCAGCGTGACCGCTGTTTTCGGTCCAATGCTATTTTTTTATTATTTACTTTTGCTTGAGATTGTCGCACGTCTCCGCGCAACATCATTCAAAGGATATCTCGCAGCGGATAAAATCGTTCATTTCCCCGCTCCTTGTTCCGCGTTGTGGGCCTAGGCGGAACTGCGAGCGAGTTCTAGGCCCTCTCCTCCTGCCAAAGCTGGCAAGGCCAGGTCGGTTTCTCTTCCTCGCGTCTTTCGGGGAGGCGAGACAGATCGACTGAACCTAAACACGCAAGTAAACTCAAACCAAGCCTTTAGCATTAGTGTAAAGAAAAATTTTGATGAACAAAAAAAAAGCACAATTTCGGGATATAACAGGAAGTTAAGTGGTTAAAATTAGCCAACGGTAAAAACAGCTTAGATTAGGCAAATCAATAGCCCGTGACTGCTTAATCTGCCGGATCTGCTTAATCTCAATCTGCTTCCAAAGCAATTCTCATGAATGTGAAGAATGGAGAAGACTAGCCACAATTACCTTCTGGCAAGGAAGCAATCGAACAAGCGAGAGAGTCAACTATGGTAGGAAGTATCACCAATAGTTGTAGATGCAACCAGCAGATGTCACCCAAATCCAGCACCTAATTTCCTTGGGGGGGGGGGGGGGGGGCATCGGATGAAAAAGGAGCTTTCATGCGATCTTAGCCTTTTTTCCACTGCGGATTTTCAATCTAACTTTTTTTTACTTTGTGATCAAAAGAAATCGTGGAATTGTCTTAAGCATCAATTCTAATTGAATTAATTATGCATTATTCTGTTTACCAGATGAAATTTGTCTGTACGAGATTCGATTTTCTGCGATGCGAATTTTCTGTTGAACTCCTCAGTTTTTGGCATTTCGTCTCCTTAAAATCCCTCCACTATTCTGCAACTCGAGCAACCGTGCAGGGCTCTCCGGTTCGGGAATCAGGGACCCGCGAAGGATTCTACTGATACCAAACCTTCCATCCGTTAGGCGTCCTGCCGGCACTCTCTGGTTTCTCAGCTGACTCATCGTAAAGCGCCTAAACCTTTTCTCGAAAACCAGTGGAGTATTTTACGGGGGGCAGTCCTGATGCCCCTGGGACAGAGCTTGGCACACCTCATAGGTAATAATTTTCTCCCATGGTATTGCTAGGGCGCCCCCATCATGCTGCCCCCCCCCCCCCACCCCCCTGACTCACCAGCCAAAATACTCCACTGGGTACGACGATTCCTTGTCGATCACTGTGACGCTCTCAATCACCCGTCAGACCTCCTAGTGAAGCTCGTATCAGACGATCAGACGAGTACTTTCTCCCTTGCCTCCAATGCTTAGCTTTTCCCCCTATTTTCTAACGGCATGCAAATCTCGAATGGAAATTAACTTCTGCTGACAAAAATAGAGAAACACCTAACTTTTAAAAGAATGATTGCTCTTTCTTAGTCCCGAAAGCGTGAATAACAATCTCATTCGCATCTGCCCATCGTCCTGACTTCTTGGCAGGTGGCCATGTTCATGTGGTTCATGTTCGTGCTCATCTTCATCCAATGTTTTTGCATATCATCCCAATATCCCACTGGAGACCCTGATCGCTACACCGAAGAAGTAGTCTCTTCGAAATGACCGCGGGACCAAAAGGAAATCCAAGAACAGTGATGTTGAATCCATTTTTACCTTCACGTTCGCTCGAGAAATTTTCCCAACCGGGGCAGCTGGTGTTTCGTATGTTACGTTCAAGAAATCCACGACGAAAAATGTAATCGATTTCTCTTAAGTCGAACTGCAGTAACTTGGCAGATACCTAATTGCATTTTTTTTAATGAAGTCTACTGGCAACTTTCGGCGCTCCTAAGCCTCTGTATGTTCCTTGTAGGATGTTAGATGATATTTCGAAAGAGTAAGTGTCAAATAAAGAGCGAATAAACGCAAGGAAATTCCACTAATTCTTTAAGGCTGGGAAGTTATGCATGTGCCATCAATGCAAAGTAACGAGATCGGTTAGGCAAAATATACCGCAAAGCGACAATAACAACAAAACATATTTCTGCTCCTGAACTTCTCTGCCTCTATGATATGCTTCATCAGCATCCTGCATCCCTCTTCTTCTAACAAGGCCCCTTCGCATAGGGGAAGATAACGTGGCTTCTGTGGACGTGGACATCACGTGGCAGGTGGGCTGGCTGCGGATTCAGTCCTGTTTTGGACGCCATTTCATGGTGTTCATCCTGAAGCGACAGACGGGATTCGCTGCCTTTGCCGGGTTGATCGGGTCCAAAGAAGACGCCGGAGGGTTTCTTTACCGGTGAGTGTGACCGGTACCACACCTTTTTTTCAATGGTGGAACTTCCATTTGGTGCGGATGCTACAACTATGAAAGAACTCCTATCATATTGGAAATATCTAATCACCATCCACTTCGCTGATTCGGCTTAATTTAAAATTTGAAATTTTATAGATCACTATGGAAAAGCAGAAAACTTCCCCCTATCTTCTACATCAACTGAAAAAAAAACAAGGGGGTTCCTAATTTCCCTGGGGGTCCCACGATACGTCAAAGTTATCAGGGGCTCATCACCTTTAACATCTTCTGGACCCATGTATGTAAAAGTGACTAGAAAGTTACTAGACAATCGCAACTTTTGTGGAATTCGAGGACTTTATTATAATGGTCATTCTGACTTGAATCGTAACTTGCACATAAGTTTCCCAGGAAGCCTGGTCTCCCGAGCAATTTTGATTCTTAATCTATAAATATTCAGGTTATTATAATGGCCTCCCTTGATGCCGTCGAAGGATTCGGTATCTCTGATCTGCGGAGTGCTACATATGAAAGCCTCGATGAAGAGCACATGAGTTCTGAGCTGAATCGATTGCCAGGGGAATTTTCAAATTCAAGTTTGAAAAAAAAATAAATGTTGCCTTGCTACTGGCTTGGGTGATTCTGTACTAGTTACTCAATACAGAATCACCCAGTACTGGTTAATCAAAGGGTATATGGTCAAGAGTGAATTTCCTCAAGGACTCTTTCAAATTACAAGCAAATTTGCACTGGCCCCTGCCGGTTTTCAACATCAACCTTATTTTTACGATAGCTCATGGCCTGGCCTTTGATAGGGTGAATATTTTAAAACACAAATTACATGAGTCTCATGTCAACTTATCAAATTTTGCAAGGTATAAGCTTCGTGAGAAAAACAACACAGAATTCAGGGGGGGGGGGAATTAATATTTTAAATGTTAGTCTTTTTTTCCATACCCTATTATGTGCCCCTTTCCTTACCTCCCCATTAAGCAATTAATTTGCATAACTTGTATTTTCTTCCACAGGTTGAAACTGAGTGGACGCGATGGAAAGTTTCTGACATGGGAAGGAACGCCGAGGGGCATTCGCGAAGGTGTTCCTTCAGATGTCAGCAATGTTTTTTTGTTCGATCCGTCCGCTGTTGAGGCCTTGGCACAATATGAACCCCTAAAGATTAACGTAACGATTCTGACCACGTTAAGTGCAAATGCAATAAAATTTGGCGTTTTCGTTTTGAAACCTTGGCGAAGTATTAGTTGGGAAGATCTCGTGTTTCCTCCCCGAATGGAAAATCTGTGAGAAGAAAGAAAAACAAAGGCACCAGGATATGAAGAAAATGTATTTAAAAATGCATTCCCTCTCACTTCTCACATTTCTCCTGTAACCAGAGATGCAGATTTCTGGGAAACCCCTTCGTGGCACGATTCCCAGAGTGTGTTAACAATCTCATTTTTTCCTTAATCTCACACTTTCTTCAAAGTTAAGGAAAGTGTATGCATATATAGACATTGTGCGTATGCATTAAACTCATGCATTTACTCTGACTTTGTTGGGTTTTTCTGACCCTCCCCTCTCATCCCTGCCGTCCCTGTTAATTCCCCCGTCATCAATCCTGTAAATAAGAGTCTGAGATTGTCAACCTGACCTCACACAGTCCTCAGCCTTTCCCAACCTGCTTGACCAGGCTGAGCCCCTGGCGATTAATGCCGTGACTGTACCCAATGTCATAAGACAGAAACAGATTATTCCCTTTCGGGTAAATTGAAGGCAATGCTGGACATGTTAAGGAAATCAACGATTAATGAGAGAAGGGAGATACAGTCGAACTCGATCATAACGACCTCGGTTATAATGAAACTTCGGTTATAACGAAGTCCATTCAAGGTCCCACTGACGAAATTGACAATGTTCATGTCCCTAATTCGTCATTCGTCGACGAGGCCTTGCCAAAAAGTACATCAAGGTCCAAAGAAGTGCGAACATCACGATAAGTGGGTCAATTCTGAAAGTGAAGCTACTGCGGCATGACCGATGCACACTGGAGTTCTAACGTTTTTTGGCATCCATTTTGAAATAGGGAAACGGAATGTCAATAACGACAACCTCGGTTATAACGACGATTTTTCCCTGATTCCTTCAATGATGTTATAACCGAGTTCGACTGGATTTTTAATGCATGGAGACAACCATGATTCACTTAAGGACATTGCTTATACATTTCTTTACCCGATTGGTTTCAATGATCCTGTCCGGCGACTTTCGGGCCATCTCGTTCAAGCAACTCGCTCGGTTTCGGTTGCTCAGGGAATGTATCAATGCCATCAAAGACAGAATTATGGGGATTCAGGAGTGGTGAGATTAAATGGTTATCATTCCACTAGTCACGAGAGAATCCCTGAGGACACGTGACTTTTTTTTACGAGGACTTCTCAAGTAGTTCTTGTATTTCAACTATTTCAACTCCGTAATAATGCAAAAAAAAATCTATTTTTGTTGGCTAAGCAGTGAACTTGAAAATTCCAGTACTCTGTGTATTTTCATAGAGACTCGTGATAGTAATTAGGTTGAGCATTTTGAAGAGATTCTTCTCGAATGGAGATGAAAAAATGAGGGGGAAAAAAATGAAATGATTGGATCCTGGCAGTTACAGGGTGGAAACGTCATTTAGCGGCATGATACAGTTTTTTTTTTCAGTTTGAAAGCATTCTTCTTTCTCCGTATAAAGTTTCATACATCTGGAGAAGTTCTCAAATGCGGTCAAAAGGGGTTCTCAAATGTTCTCCAGGTTCAGCAATAGGTTCAGGTTCAGGTTCTGACTCTTCTGGCAGGTCTCTCTAAGATTTGTTTTTGGCCGACCTGTTTGAGGAGCTTGGAGGAAAACTCAGAAATTACATTGGACCTGAAACCCCCTCCATTAAGCCTGCGGCTGATAAAAAAAAAAGTCAAGCATTACCTTCCCAAAACTTATTCACTTTTGTTGGAGATGCTCATCTTCAGAGAGCCATGCTTGGCTTTGGAACATCATAGCGATGCAACCACGTTTCATCCACACATCATAGATGCCTGTAGAACTAGAAGGTAGCTTGTAAAACTCGTTTAGCGTTTTAAGCGTAGCTCAGATGAAAACCCTCCTTCAGTCGAGTTCACCATTGCTCGCTCGAGTGTAAAAAGAGTGACACTAGTCAGTTCCACCATAATTATGGTTCCAGATGAGACCCCCAAAGCATGTCCAATTCGACAGTGCCTGATACGTGGGTCTTCCCTCAAGACGGCTCGAGCAGCTTAATGTTTCTTTCATTAGCTACCACAGGGGGCCGACCGGAGCAAAGGTCATCGAAAGATATAAAAATCGCAATACCGTAGACAAAAATCAGGACAATACCTTACTTAACATTTTTAATCCCTCGGGAAGATGATTTTGCATTTATAAACTCATATCCATTTTGCGACGTTCATGTTTTCCGTCATTGCAGCGGTTATTATAAGCTTAGCGTTCAGCACGGTTCAGCAGCACTTCAATTGAAGCTCAGTTGGAGTTCCTGAAGTGGTCATGTTCACAGTATCGCCAATGAAATGTTTGGAAGATTTTAGCGGAAATGTAGGTCTTCTAGGTCTCGTCCTTCATTCCAGACAGTTCAATAGTGTAGCAAACATGTAAATATGGATATATGGGCGCCAACTCTCGGATGATCACGTGATCAGCACGTTAGGAAAAAAGCCACCCGGAAATAAGACCCCCAGAATTGGCAAAGGCGGAAAAGTGCCATCCAATTATGTTCAGGTCAGATTAAAGACTCATTCATTTTTGCGACATTTAGTGATATTGATGTCATTCGTATAAATATATATAAATGAGACATTATTAAGCAATGACCTGGGTGGCTTTTTCGCATTTTCATCTCGGGTGGCTTTTTTCCGCTTTTGTCAATTCTGGGGGTATTTTTTCCAGGTGGCTTTTTTCCGAACCCCGTGCTTGGCATGTCCCCTTCTCCCTATTTACCAAATCATGGTAACGGTCACAAATGACTCAACTTTATGCTACCCTCCCTGGTATGAAAATCCCCGTCTTCAGTTCGAGAGAGAGGCAGTCGGTCGCTCGCACGACTCAGGCAGCTCGAGCTGGGAGCTCTCTTTCTAAGCTTTTGAGCCTGCCAGAGTCTGCGACCGGACGACTCCTCCAGAGCTCGGTTGACCCGATTTCATTCGTGGATCCACCCATAAAGGAAGTGGAACGGCTCAGAAGGCGCTGGTCCATTTGCGAGTAAACGGCCGCCAATCTGTCCGCAGGTCACGAACCTCGAGCTCTGTTGACATGGACGTACGTACCACCTGCTCGGTTTGACCTCCACTCGAACCTCGAGCCAGGACGTACTACGACGGTGTAGAAATCTATCGCTCCGAACGACTCTCTCAGGACCTTGGTGTCTCCAGAAGAATTTCAGTTGTTAATTGACTGGTCGGCTCGGTTTGATCGCGGATCGAAACCTCGAGCGGAAATGCTACCGGATTGTAGCACCGGTAATCCCTTTCCTTACGGATAGGAAGGCCTCTGGACCTAGGTGTCTGCAGACGTCAGAATTTCAGCGGTTAATCGGCTCATTTGAGTAGAGCTCGATTCTACCTGAGATTTCGTTGCAGCAACTGGACGAGGACAGGACGCTGGGTTCCTCGAGACCCAGAAGTGCGGAAACATTGGAGGAGGTCAGCAAGACGTCGTTTGGAGTTCACAACACTGGAAGAAGATCTGTACCTTTCGGACAGTCCCTGAATCTCACAAGTCTGTAGTCATTTCGTAGTTATTAATAAACCAGGCCCATATATCCATCAGACTGCAATCGTGTTCCTTTGCCCACCTGCCGAATACTTTTCTGATAGAAGTATAGGTACGGCAATCAGCCGTCTGCGGGAGATTTCCCGACTTTTATAAACGCAACAATAGCAATGTTTCAGTTGTCAGAGGTGCGAAAATTAATATTGTGTGAGAACTACTACATTTAACTCTCTCTTGAGCATCGGAACTACGACTTTAAAATCTAAGTCTCGGTTCAGTCATCGTCTGGACTGGGATGAACTCGAAGATGAACTCAGCAATTGTCAATATCTTCGGATTTCATTTAAAGTGTGACTTATTTGATCCTGATATTTTTCTTTCTCCTATGACAATGTGAAAAAAAGAGAGGGCAAAGTGCTTTCATTGATTTTCCGCACGTGTGGCAGCTCACATTCCTCTCTTCCCTCTCTCCCTTTTTTTTTTTAATCCCGTGCCTGTGAATGCAGAGGGGAAGGGGAGACAGTGATGAACAAAATATATCTTCCGATTTAAAGTGACGGGATCCGTTTCATTCAATTTCATTCAATCACGATTTCCTCCTCCAAATCGTCTTTCCTCCCTGCAAAAGCCAGGGAGCCTTCCCCTGCAGAAGACTCAGATGACACCCCGCCGCTCTGTTCCCCCTCGGAACCCCTCTTGTGAAGGAGATACACGGCGACGACCATGGCCAAGAAGGCACAGGTGAAGCTGTAGATCTTATGCAGAGACATGTGCATCCACTCCAGGAACAGCGTCTGAGCCGCCACGATCACGGCCGTCGTGAACACCGCATAATACACCGGAATGACCGAAACCGCCGGAAAAGCTACCAGCGCCCTCTGCAGAAACTCCATCTGCCCCAAAACGAAGCCGACCCCCGCCACGAGCGAGACCCAGAACGCAGGATGCCCGATCACCGTGTGATCCCCTCCGAGCATCTGCTTGAACCCCAGACCCACCCCCTTCCACCCCAGCACGGCCAACGAGCCGAGGAACGCAGAGACGGTGACGTGAATCAAGGGCGTCTGGTCCCCGAACTTCGGCGCAACGATCACCCCCAAACACGCACACCCCACCGAGACCACGAAGAAGTAGAATAGAAACCCCGTATCGAAGAACCTCCCCCACAACACCCTCAGGCTCGCCACAGGCTCCTCCATCGGCGCATTCACGACCAATAGCAGCGTCGCCAGCGTCCCCAGCACGCACCCTGTCACCGGATGATCCGTCCCCTCCTCCCCCAACAGAACCTTCCCCATTGCCGTCTTCGCCATCACGCCCATCAGGCCCAGCGGGGTCACCAAGGTCGCCGGTCCGAACGCGTACGCCAGCAAGTTTCCGGCCTCCCCCCCACCCACTGCACCACAACCGAAACCCCCACATGCTCAAAACCGATTCCACAACCCCAACACAATCCAATCGCACATACTGAAGGCCAGGGCCAGCCACCAGGCGCACGACGTGAAGCATCCCGCCTTCCCCGTCCGCCCGAACGCCTTTCTCTTCAAGACGAACGCCAGACCTCGAATGCGAACACACTTGGGCATTTCGATTCGTCGCGCAACCTTGACGCTTCTTCGAAGGACATTAATTCAATGACCCTGGTGTGCATTACACAGCATAAAATATAAACCCGACGTTATGCGGTTCATTTATGGCTGCCTATTCAATCCAATGACACGCCCAATTAATCTATCGACCACTTAATTGAATTAATACAACAAAAAAAATTACGAGCCAAGAAGAAGGGGAAGTTTCCACGTGGATCAGGAAGAAATCACCGAGCAGGAGGGAAGAGACGACGGAAAGCAGAATCCCAAGTCCAAAATCCCGACGAAAATCCACGTAAGGCGGAACGTAGTAATTTTCCCCACGACCTCCCCCCACATGACCTCCACCTCCACCTCCACCTCCACCTCCGCCTCCACCATGACCTCCACCTCGTCCACGACCGAAGTCCATCACATCCGCCTCTTCTCCGTGCCAGAAATACATATCGCCTCCCAGCAACGGCCAACACGATCGAGCTCGAATGCGAATCCCCGGACCTCGAGTGAAAGCGGATCCTCGACGGTACGGAACGTGAACCCAAGTTTGAAATTTGACCGCCGGATGGGCCACTATCTCTCCCCCTTATATCTTCTACGTGCCTCCTCGATACAGCTCGATATAAAACTCTCGAGTCAGTCAGTCGTGGTTCGTACACAGACGCGAGTGCAGCATTCCTCCGATCCGTGTGTATATACGCGGGAGAATCGGGGGTGGAGAGAAGCGCCTATCTGGCACGATACCCATCTCCGGCATCCCTGGCGAATCTGGGTATTATGCTGGATACGACGTATCTCCCCAGCCCCGCCGGCCTCGACCGGGAAGACAGACGAGGGCGCGAGACGACGGCCGGTCGGCGTCGGGTCGGTGACAGCTGGGCGTAAGGGCGTCCGTTCCGGCATCCCTGCCATTACGCCAACTGTCATCGACCCGATCCGACATCCCTGCGCTGCGATCTTCGTCCTTCGTGCCCTGCGATTCCCGCGGGTTTCAGTCGATTCACACGGGAGAGCCGTAAGACCCAGCCTTTATATGTATGTGTATGTGCAGATTGTATAGATAGATATGGAAAGAAGTAAACACTGGATCCCATACCGTCACAGCATACACTGCCGTCACTGTTCGGGCCCTTCAGATCAAGGCCGCACGAGTGTTCGACTGTCAACGAAGGATGCCATCGATGGGAAGTATCACAGAGCAACGAACTGGAGAGGAGCGAGGGTCCAAGACGGGCACCTAGGACATCCTTCGTCACCTAGGACTTCCTTCGTCGCCCACGGGCTTTCCCCTTCCTCGAGGACTTGGACGGCTGGATTTGAAGCGACCGGGACATGAGACCCGGCTTCGTGCAGTCCAAGCCACGGAACATCCTCACCGCCTTCCTCAGCTCCTTCACGGAAAACACGTAAGAGACAGAATGAGAGGACCTTGAGACGATCTTGACGTCACTCTCTCTAGCTATCGACAACTGATTATTCTTAGGTACATCACGGTGGACGCGAGAGTTCCGTTCGTTCCTGACGCCATCTTGAGTCACGCACGTGCGCAAATGCGCACAGCGTCCTCCAAGTCCCAGTGCTCCACGAAACCCTGCATCCCCGTGAGTTACACTACCTTCACTAGCCATCGGTACACCATGTATCCCCTATAGCATTTTCCCTCCCGCCAAAATGATCCAGATCGAACGACCGCAGCCAAGTAACGCCAAGACCGCCCCACAAGGAGAACAGCAACATACGTGATCATTCCTGTTCCAGGGAAGAATGAAAGTCGGAAGCAGCCTCGCCCCATCCTTCTTCCCCATGATGAGATACCTCTGCCCCTTCCTCTTCCCCTCCGCCTCCTCCAGCAGCCCCCCGCAGCAATCCTCCTCCACCCCCTCCTCCACCCTCTCCCCCCCGAGGACATTCCTCCCGCTCACCACCACCGCCTCCCCCTCCGGCTGGTCCCCGCCCTGCTGGCCCCCGCCCCGCCGAGCCCCGTCCAGGCTGATCCTCGGCGAGCCCCTCTCCTCCCGACTGAATCGAAGGCTCTTGAAGATCCTCGGCTTCTTGCAGATCAACTCGCCGTTCTTTCTCTCCTTGATCTTCGTCTTCATCGCTGTGAAACAAAATACGAAAACCGATTTTTTTTTTCCCCCCATAAATTCCCGTCTCGTGTTTCATCATAAACGAGGGAAGCAATCGCGACGCAGACGAGCATACACCCTGCCACTTCCGTCTGCGCACAAAGCTTTTCATTCTCACTTTAATATTTACCATCTTTACAATCGATCATTTTCAAACAGAACTCTTATCGCCCCGATTGCAGTACGAGACGTCCCACCATGACCCCCACAATTTCCGAAATTTCATCGCGCATTCATCCTCACCTTAGGAAAATCTTCGCAAGGTGGCAAAAAACGAACACGAGTCGAACAAGAAACCCATGAGATGAATCCTGATGAATCCCCGAGTCGCAGAATTCCGTTTCATTCGAGTAACCGAAACGCATTGAACAACTCCTCTTTCTATCGTGAATTCAATCCTACCTCGATGACCTTAAAGGCCTAGAAGTTTAGGCCGAACCTCACAGCGACCAGGGAACCGAAACTTTCAACTCACCTCAACCTTTATTTCTTTTCATAATAATACGGAATTATTATTAATATACAGTATTATTGGGAAAGAGAGACGAGGGATCTTCCACTGGAGGCGAATCCGCAAGGAGTGGAGCCGGACACGGAGACTTTCGCGCCATTTGGACAAGGAGACTTACCCGGTCTTCTGGACAAGGAGACTTTCCCTGTCCGCCTCGGCTACTCCAAAAAAAAAGTGTTGGAAATATTTAAAAATCGAAACCTGAATACGCGTCGAACACGTCAGTCGCAATAATGTTTTACGGCAATGCAGCATCGCCCTCTCCACAATAAATTCCCATCCTTGTTAATCGTGTCCGGGCTCAAGCATGACGCGGAACGTTGATGTACTCCCTAACGAAGTACGCACAGCCTTGTCAATTACACTCCGACGCATCCAAACATAAACAAGTACGTGCTTGAAGGATCTCTTCTTCGTCTCTCTGGGAAGAACATATATATAGAAACAGCCAGTAGCGTTGCTACCAAATGTGCAGGCGGTGCGACTGCACCGGGCCCACGGGTCAGAGGGGCCCAGACGCCGAGCTACGAAGAGGGGGGAGTTTGCTGGGAGCAGCTTGACATCGGGACGAGGTGAGAGCCACCAGCCGAAAAGGAAGGTCAAAAGGAATCAAAGGAGTTCAACGCGACACTGCACAGAGATATCTCGCAACTGGGACGCCTCTTTGTGCGCTTAAATCAAGTGGTGACTACTTCAAACACCATCCACCCAGGGTCGATTAAGGGGGTGGGGGGAGGGGGGGGGGGGGGGGACTTGCCCCTGGCCCCGCAACTTCGTGATCCGGCTCTGCATTTACCCTTTCACTAGTGGCGGATTCAGAAGAGGGAGGACGACTGCCCCTCCTCTGACCAAGTTCACAATCTATTTTTTAATTTAGAAAGCACGTAAATTAATGCTTATTAGCTACTGTGAAATGGATATTCAGGTTTTTTTTTACCCCAGACAAAAACTGAATAAGGCGAAAGGACGGATGAGAGGGGGGGGGGGGGGGGGGGGGGATCTAAGAAACCCCCCCCCCCCCCCCCCTAAATCGCCACTCCCTTCCACACTGACTTCAGCGACCGACGAATTATATGCTGCCGGAGAAAACTAGCAAAAAAATATGACGCCTACATAATTCAATAGTAAGAAATTAGGAAAGCTGGAAACAGCGAAAGCCACTGAATCGGTTTTGACGTTTCAATTATTGATTTGCGGATGAATTCGCCTTCAGCTTTTGTTTCGATATCAAGTACTGAACTAGTACCAAAACTATTGAGAGGCCCTCATATCCAGAACACGCAGACCAAGCAAGAGGGAAAATTACGATTTGGATCCCGATAAATGAGGCACGAAGAGAAACTGTGCACCTTTCGATCAATCACACTGAAAATGACTTTGTCAAGTACTGAACCGACTTGAGCTGGTGAGGCAGGCAAGTACTTATTCTAGACGGAAGAAGTACTTGCAAGTACAGGAGAGCACTCGCAATTAATCCGCCGTAGAGAGAACAACTCCCAACCAAATAAAGCCAACAGAGTGAAACAAGATCGTCCCGAGAGAGGAGAGGAGGCACTCGCGAAGCAGACGACCAGCCAGCCAACCACCAGATCCTCCTCTGCCCTAGCAGCCATTCATTCTCACTGAAATATTTACTCTGGTTTTATCATTGGACGATTTCAAACGGAGCTCTCTCTCATTGCCCATATTCATGCATGGAGCCTTTTTATCGTACAACTTTTCGTGGCATTTCAAATCAGCAAAAACCACAAACCCAACAAATTTGTAAACCAATTATTGCGACTCGACCAGCGAACACTACCGGACGGAACTCTTTTCTGCTCGACTACAGTATAAAACCTCCACCAAGCCAAATTTCGTCTCTCAACTCTGCATAGATGGACGTGAAGAAAAAAAACATACCGAAGTCTGCCCGGCAGAAGTTGTCCAGGATGTTCTCGTACGTACTGGCCTGGTTGCACGCCTTGCAGATCCCTGAGTACCGGAGACACCTCTATTACACTCCATCCCGCACAAACTTCACCCCTACCCACCTTCACTCACCCGAATCTGCAGTCGACGCCGCGGACGAGTCGGATGACGCGGTCTGGGGTCGACCCTGCGCCTGCGGCGGAATGCACATGTCGTTATCGTGCGGAAACTGCGAGCATTCGAGCATCTTCGGCCACGGGAATCCGTAATTGAGCATCCGTTGCTCGCAACCCTGCTGCACCGCCTCGCACAGGCTCCTGCAGGGATAGATGAGCCTGTCCAGGCAGACGGGCGCGAAGAGCGAGCAGAGGAACACCTGGGTGTCCTCGTGACAGCGGAGATTCAGTAGCGGGACCCACGACGCCGCCTGTGAGGGAATCCATTTTTTCTTCTCATTCATATCGTCCACGCTTTCTCATCGGTATAGCACCCCGAATTCGGCGCTTTGATAAATAAAATGTGCAAAAAAAATAAACGACAGAAATAGTTTTCCTCTCCGTTCAGCGACGCAAATAAAAAGAGGGAAATTTGGAGGGCAAAAGACCCAGCTGCATCGTCTTCATACCCAGCCGTGAAACCATCTGCGCCAGATCTGACCAGAATCTCTCAGTGTGGCCGTCGACACTCGACAGTCAGGGCCGGATTAAGGGGGGGCAAAGGGGGCTGTTGCCCCGGGCCCCACTCTTCCAGGCCCCCCCCCCCCCCCCCCCCCCCC